TACAACGTCGTTGCCAAGCGACGAAAACCCAACCCCGATGGCAAACACCGAAGGGGGGACGACGGGAGAAGTGAGCAAAACATCTACCATTCGTGAAAGTAGAGCAGAAGACCCTACCGCAGCAGGAGAATCTCATAGGCGGAGGACACAATCACGATATTTTCCGCTCCTTCCCCTGAAACGACCACGCCGCTTCAGGATTTTGGTTCTTTTAATGCTTTGGTGCTGCGACCAAGCGAGGTGTACCTGTCCAGCCATTGTTTTGTTGTGAAAAAAAGTACTTCGTAGTAAAGACTAGTACGCGTACGAGGCCAAACTTCCAACTGACGTTGTGTTAGGGCAAGTAGGTAGCCCTTTGGCCTACTTGTAGCAACAGACAGAGAAACGCAGCCGTCCCGCTTCAGTAGCAGATGCTGTTCGGGGTGTGCGCGCTCCCGTGAACGCCGCAACAGCACAGACTATCCCCACCTTGACCCTTGACCTCATCGCACCACCTCAGGCACGATTGTCATATGACATGTATACTACACGATAAAGTCAGGCGAATCGGAGAAGTTCACCAGATTCCAACGCAGACGTATGAGTTGCTAAATTGCAACGAGGGCACCCGGCTCCACCACTGAAGTACTACTATACAAGAGTAAATACCATACCAAAGGTTAATCAGGTATGCTGCTGCGCGCTGCTGCTGTTGCAGCAGGACCGTTACACCCTCCCACCTGGCCAGCCTTCATAATCCCTAGCAAGAAGAGGCACCCAAAGAAGAACCCCAAGGTGCCGCTCAATACCGGTGTCGGGAAGGCCATCCTATCGCTGGCGTTTCTGCTGCTGCCGCTGCTCCAAGCACCTGGCTTCTGACAAGTCGGCGGTTGAAACTACTTACTCCTAACGAGAGGGTGTTCGTTCGACGTCACCGGCGTGGAGGGCAGAGAGCATAGTTCAATTTGTTTCCATAGAGAGGGTGGACCGCAATATGCATATGGGTAAGTCGCAAGGGGTAAGAAGGAGGCCCTTCGACATGGCGTCCAACAGCCGATGGTAGGCTTGTAAGTCAAGCGTGCAGCCACATGCTCGTGTGAGGAGAGGCGGCGACAATCGGGCCGCACCTTCGGGTGAGAGTGCTATGATTTCCTTGACAACAGCAGTGCTGCGTAATTTGTACTGCTAGCACACACAAGCTGATGCGTGGGGTTCATGAGAGAGCGGGCTCGGCTCGTCGATCTCCAGGGTAGCCTGCTGCTGTAAATACCACCTCGTTGTTTTACAGGAGGTGAAGAAGTGGTGCCGCAAAACAAACTTTTCCTTGTCAGTCACTGCTACATACCGGCTCGTTGGCGGCCAGCCGCCACTCAACTGAGCACGATAAATTAAGCACCGAGATACTGGGATGGACGCTATGGCTCCACATCATGGCCGGGAGGGCACCGAGAAACAAGCAGCCTCGCTAATGGAGAACAGCAGTAGTGCGATTGTACGAATTCGAGACCGGCAGGGGCGAGAGAGAAAAGGTTCGGCCGCGGCGACCTCCTGGAGTTTCGGAGCCAGATTAGACGATTAGACCCAAGAGACAAATCAACAGGAGCCGGGCGCGTGCCACATCTATGCTCATGATTCCATCCTACCGGTAGGACCCTTCGAATAACCGAGCTCTCACCTCCCTCGTGCAATTGACTCAAGTGCAGTGGACGTGGCACATCTGTTGTGTCTTCCTGTCTTTCCGAAGGTGGCCCGCAGATGGGGGCAAACAGGCCGCAACCTCATACCCTACTTTGTCCAAGAAGTACATTCTGAGAGGGGCGCGGGCTCACGGCTCCGGCGTACTGTTTTTGCGTCCTGTTTGCATCGAAAGCGCAGACACACGACAGCAGGCAGGACCGGCAGGTGGGTGTGGGCACGAGCTTTCCTCGATGTTAGTGTGGTCGTAACTCTGGAGAACCTGATGGCGAATTCGTAAAACGAAAACGAGGGTTGATGAGGTGGCGAAGGTGTGCTTGCTTTTTGGGGTCAAAGCTGCGCCCACTGGCTTTTTACACCAACAGACGCAACCCACCAGCTGGCGTTCATGGATCCGCCGTCCAATAGAGAGCGCAGCCAAGCTCTCTACGTTGTCGGTTTTCGTCTGGCACAGTCCTTCGTTGGGTTGTTGTGGTGTTAGATGAGATGGACGCTGGCGCTGCTGCTGCGCAAGCACTTGTGGATTTTGTTCACCGATCAAGTTTGGCAATTAAAATTTGCACAGAGTTTGTGCAAAGACTTAAACGGGATCCCTCAGCCTGTCACACACCCCTTGCATCGACATGTTGCTAAGTAGCGTTCGCCGTAGATACAGCTTTTTGGGCCCCGATGAGCACGGCGGAAGTCGAGTGAGCATGTCCTTCCTGGCCGATTTCATGTATTCTGTATTCAGCTACAGCGCCAGCACGTGGATGGAGAACCATCAGAGTCTTGTCTGGTCTGCGGTAGATTATATTTGGTGTGATTAATCTACAGCAAGCAGTAGAATTTTGTCGTGTCAACGTGTCAACGCCAATGGTTCGACCGCATCCCTGCGCGAAGAGCATACGTGTACAGTTAGCGCCCGCACTTAAGAACTTGGCAGTTTAGAAATTGAGACTCGAAAAAAATCAGAAGCTAAGAACTTGAGCACCATTTGTGAGCCCAGTTAAGAATCCCAACACTAAAACTCATAGTGGCGATTTGTAGCCCACAAGAGGATGATCAGCAATATTAGAACCCCAGCCTCGGTCGAAACTGCAGGTTCTAGTGCGGGCGCCATCTGTATGTACAACTGCAGTATGATAGCACACAAGCACACACACACATGCGTGTGTGTATAATGTTGTGTTTAGCTTCGCTTGAATGTTCCGGGGTGCACGGCTGCTGCCCCCCCCCACAACACGCCTTTCACGCACCCACACACGGTCTATCACCCTCACTTCACTAAGTCACTTCCCGCCATTTGGGCTGAAAAAGGGTTCGTAGAGTAGACTCACACCAATACAGCGAGAAACGGAGAGACACTATGTACTTTGCCGGTAATTTAGGCAAGGCGTGAACATGTCGACCCCGAAAATTCTGTAGGGCTGTGAACTGCTACCTTGGTCAATTGCCCATGGTTGGATTTTCGTTTCTTCAGGCCGGACACCAGTATACCACACCCTGTGGTGTTGGTATTCCTTACTACAGCAGTGGGCTCAAGTGATTCATGGTAACTCGATGGTGTCTTGTGCCACAGCAGTTTTCGACCCCCCCCGCCGCCGCCACCCCGGTGTTTGCCATCGGGAGTGGGTTTTCGTCGCTTGGCAAGGACGTTGTAAAACAAGCCAATTCACTTCGTGAACTCGGCAACCAGGTTACCGTTTTTTTTTTTTTACCTCCGTTTTTTTTTTTGGCGGTAACCATAATGGTGGTCGAGTAGATCATGTTGTGCGGGGTGGAGAACCCGCTCCGCGCAAGGGGGATGATCGCACCACGTTGTGTTAAAATGGTCAAGCACCCTCGAGGCAGTTACACAGTGCTTACAACTGTCT